CGTCCCCCTCTGACCGCCGGGACCGGCCCGCCAGGAGCAGCAAGCTCAGGCTGCAGGCCGAGGCCGCGGGAGGCCCAGAGCCCCCCCTCCTTCGCAGGGCCAGAGCCAGAGCCAGAGCCAAGAAAGGCCCACTGGGCGGGAAGGGGGGGAGCCACAGGAGGTCTCATGATTCCCCCTTTTTTCCCCTCCAACATCCCCCTCCCTGGTACTCTTTTCATTTTCACTTCTTTAATTCTTTATTTACATATCTGCTTCCTTCTTCAAATACCATCAGTGTGGCCTACAATAGCACATTAGAAAGCTAACAAAGTCAGTAACAACTAAAATAAGCTAAAACCAGCCGCTCTATAATACCGCATCCCGCAGCGGTGAGAAAGGAAAGCCTAGAGCAAGCAGGTGCCTCTGGCCTCGGCCATGCCAGCTGTCGTGCACGAAGCCCTCCTGGGCCTGGGGTGGAGACCTTCTGCCCCCAGTCCAGGCTGCAGACCTGCCACGGTCTCCCGCGGTGGCCTGAAGGCGAGCTGGCTGTCCTAGCCAGCCCTCGGAGCATCCGAAGACCAAGCCCGAAGACATTCACAGCTGTGGAGCCACCCCAGGAAGGCCCCTTGTGAGGGCTCCTCTGGGACCCTGTGCCTGCGCCATCTGCTGCACTGCTGGGACCAGCCACGAGGCACCGGCCTCCCAAGCCTGGCACTACCCTCAGGATCGCCGGGGCTGGCCCCTAAGCGTTTCTGCTGCTCCGCGCCCAGCCCCCAGCAACCCCGGTCTCGGGAAGCACAGGGCTTGCAACACGCATCAGCGCACCCAAGACAGGATGCAGCAGAAACGCAGGCCTGCAAGTGCTGACTCACAAGGAGGCAGCAGAGGAAGACGCCCAGGTCTGGGGAGAGGGAGGGAGAGCCCCACTGAAGATCGAAGTCCACGGCTAGGATGTTGCTCTGCCTGCCAGGCTCTGCTGATGGCTAGACTCTGCCCCCTCCGCTGGGCAAGACGTCTGAAGACACCCCCCCAATCTGGGCAAAAGCAAAAGCTTAGTTTGGAAGGAATTCTCAGCAGCAGCAGCAGCACACTGTCCCGACTGAAGGGCAGCAGAGGTTTCACGTGGCAGACAACGGGCACAAAACTGAACTGCAGGACCGCCACGAGGCCAAAGGCTTCCAGCGCAGCCGTCACCCAATCCAGGCCCACACAAGGCTACGTGGGTTTGTGAAAAGAGACCTGGGCAAAGGCCCCTTGGGGCCAATGTCCCCATCACACAACCGCCTGCTTGAGAAAATGACCAGGACCCTCCTATGAAGCCCCTGTTGCCCACCACTAATTCTTTCTTCTTTCAGTGTTTAGAAAATTTGTCAAGATGCTTCCCTTTCGCCAAGCATTTATTTACTTATTCATCTATTTCATTTCAATTTATGTGGCTGCCCAACTCAACACCATGAATCTGGGTAGTGAACAGCAATTAAAAAAAAACATAAAATAACAATTACACCCCAATAAATACTTAAATGGCAGCCAAGGTAAAAAAAACCACCTGAACTGTCAATGTACCCGTCCCGTGGGCTCTGTCACATACTCCAACCCCCAGGCCCGGTGACACAGGCAGGTCTTCAAGGCCTTATGGAGGGCCAACAGCAGTGGGGCTAGTCTGATCTCGGTGGGGAAGGGGGGCGATGTTCCAAACAGCAGGCACACGGCCGAAAAAGGCTCTCCTCCTGGGTGCCATCAGATGGCAGTCTGGCTCGCATCTCCTGCCAGATCTGATGGGATGGGGAGACACAATCAGGGAGAGGCACTCCCACAGATGATCTGGCCCCATGCCGTGAGAGGCTTTATGGGTAATTGCCTTGAGCTGGACCCAGAAGCACGTAGGCAACCAATGCAGCTCACAGAGCAGAGGTGTAGTATGTGCCAGTCTAGGAGCTCCCGTAACTGCCCTCACCGCTGTGTTCTGGAAAGGCTGAAGCTTCCGGATGCACTTCATGGGCAGCCCCATGAAAAGCACACTGCAGTAGTCCATTCGGGAGGTGACTAAGACACGAGTGACTATGAGCAGAGTGTCTTGGTCCAGCAATTGGCGCACAACACAAAGCTGTGCAAAAGCCCTCCTGGCCACAGCTGCCACCTGTTCCTCAAACAGGAGCCGCAAGCCCAGGAGGACCCCCAAGGTGCGCACAGCTGCTGTTCAGAAGTAACCAATGGAAAACCCCCAGAACCCGCAGCCCTAAAGCCCAGAGCCACCTCGGTCGCCTAGGACCGAGCTGAAGCCTGCTCTTCCCAGTCCAGACTTCTACAGCCTTCAGACAGAGCCTCCACAGCAGAAATGCAAAGCTAGGTACCATCTGCACACTGATTGCTAGATCACTTAAACATTGATGTTATCATTAACTTTAAGCTGCTGTTTCACTTTTTAATGTGCTGTTACCATTTAAAATTCTGCTCGGTGACAGTGTTCAGCCAGGAAGAAAGGAGGGCTAAGAAATTATTCTGTCTCACACTGCAGAGGGCAGAAGGAATGGCCCTGAAGGATAGGAGGAAGAGTCGCTACCCAGGCAACTGTCAGATAAGCGGGGCAAGAAAGTAACCTGAGAAAACGTCCCAGACAGGCCGCTCCCTAGTTCACACAAAGATAAGGTAAGGGAGGGGGAAGCACATTCAGACTTGCAAGGTTCTCTTACTATAGCTTTGCTATAAAAGTAGTCCTGGCCTACTTGGCCTTGGTTTCTTAGTCTGGTCTACCTTGTGGGGCTGACACACACAAGTGATCAACCAGATATGTTTGGGAAGCTCACAAACAAGTAATCCTCTCCCCCCTGCAGTTGATATTCAAGGGTGCTCTAGAAGGAAGCAAACAGCCCACAAGAGGTAGCCCTGAAAGCCCAAATTCCTTGGGATTGCCTCACCTCTTCAACATCTTTTGGTGGCCCCATCATACCTGATGGCAGCAAAGTGCATTACAGAAAGAAGCCATTTTTTTTAATGCTCCTGAATTTTCAGTGAACGAATCCAAATTCTCACCCAGTGACAGAGGAAGGAAAGCTTCTGTTTCTGTCTCTCTCCCCATTTTCTATACCATCCCTGCTTTTCTCTACATCCGCCACGTCTCCCTGTGCTGCAGGCCCTGTCACTTGCCCTCCCCGGGTTGTTTCCTCCTACCCATTTTCCATCTCCACAGTTTCTCACCCGAGATTCACACGAGGTTCTTCCTATGCCATTTTTCCTACTAATTCGAAGCATGAGATTTGTCTTTCATACAGCAGCTGCCACAGTTTACATTTCTGCTAAGACCTCCACCGTGGCTTCATAGGTTTTAAGAATAAACAGAAGAGGAAGATGTTAACAAAAAAAAAAAAATGAAAACAGAAGATCAAACAGAACCGATGAATAAAGCAGGTTTTAAGAGTGAGAAGTAAAATACCTGGGTATCATAATGACAAATATGAACTGTATGCTATTTCAAAACAATTATGTTAAAATATGGAATGAAGTTAAAAAGATATGTTAAGATGGGAGAAATTACAATTGTCATTGTTGGGTAGAATGTTGGTAATAAAAATAAATACTTTACTTAGAATGATGTTTTTGCTTCAGACAATACCTGTTTTGACAACTGATGGACCATTTAAACAGTGGTAGAAGGATATATCTAAATTTGTGTGGCAGGGGAAAAAACCATGAGTTAAATATAAGGTGCTACAAGATGCAAAGGAAAGAGGAGGATTGGGTCTACCAGATTTGAAATTGTAATTTGTAGCTTCCTGTTTGGTTTGGATGAAAGAGTGGGTGCTGTCGAGAAACAGAAGGCATTTGGCGTTAGAAGGACACGACCTGAGATTTGGGTGGCATGGACATTTGTGGTACGACAAAGTCAAGGTCAACGTGGATTTTAAAAACCATTACGTTAGACAGGGCATATTGAGAATATGGAATAGCTACAAACCCAGATTGTGCCCCAAAATACCTATGTGGCTCTCAGCACAAGAAGCATTGTATAGACGAGAAATAGTAAGCTAACATAAATGGCTAACTTATTGTGAGAAACTAGAATTTTGTATCTAGTTGGTCTTGTGGTGAAGGCCCCAGGCTAGAAAGCGGGAGACGGCGAGTTCTAGTCCCGCCTGAGGCGTGAAAGCCTTAGGCCGGGTGACTTTGGGCCAGTCCCTCTCCCTCAGCCCAGCCCACCTCACAGGGTGGTTGTTGGAGGGGGAAATAGGAGGAGGAAGGAGTATTAGCTATGTTCGCCGCCTTGAGTTATTTATAAAAATAATAAAGGTGGGCTAGAAAAAATAAAATAAAATCAAGAGAAGAACTGGTAGCAGAGGGACATAATTGTCAATGGTTCTCTCATTTACGATTATTAGAAAGATTTAAAGTAGATAAAAGAATTTATGGTTTTGAACATTCTAAGACTGAGTCTGAATTAGAATTGTGTACATATGATGAACACGTAATTGCTAAAATGTATAAACTTTTACTGAAATATGAAATAGAACAAATGAAAGACTGTATGATAAAATGGGATAAAAAATTTGGTAATAATATACAGTCAGAACAGTGGAAAAATACGTGGCTGAAGGGATTGAAATTTAGGAAGGAAGGGATCCCTGACTTCTTTCCTGCCTCCCTCTTGCCCCTGTGCCCAATTGGCTGGCAGCAAGGCCCGATGGCTGAGCGGCGATCGGCTGCTTTGGAACCGAGGCCAAAATCTGAAATCTCCTAACGGCAGTGGGCACTGAGGGGAGGCCTAGGGAGCGACTTGGATGCCCACTGGCGAGGTAGGGCTGGCTGGGGGGCACCAGCGGTCGATGGGTGAGCCCTCCTCCTCCCTCGAGGGAGGGGCCCTTGGGGACATGCCGGAATGGGGAGCGGGGGCACAGTGTCTGCGTTCCGCCTCCTCCCAGCAAAGTGGCAGGCCATTCCGTGGGTCAGCTGAGGAAGGGGGCGGCGGGTTCCCGGGGGGCCCCCCCAGGGGGGAGGGGGGGGGGCGGGTGGGCCCCGGCCTGAAT